TCGAAAAATCCCCAATCGTCTTCCCATATCATAAAAATGGCACCACCAGCTGATAAATAAAGTACAAAAAATATCATACCACCCAAAGCAGACAACCATCGTTTAGTTGACGAACTTATATTTGGTATTATGTTCTGTAATTAAAAATACGATAATGATAATAATGATAATGAAACATGGGTTCACGTACGTACTAAATACCTTATTTGATAAATATATTTTTGCTTTTTTATGAAGTGTAGAAAGGGCAGTAGCCATTAGTACTCCCATGTCCGCGATGACAGATAATGTTAAGGGAATTCCTATTAACGCAAATAGAATGCAAAATAGCCGACCCCAGAATGTGTTTGGAACGGTGTTGCCATACCCTAAAATTAAAAAATGATTTATTATGTTTTTTGAATTAAATAAATATTTATAGTAGTAGCCATTCGAAAAAAAAAAAAATTTTTTTTTGTTTTGTGTTTTTTTTCATCATTATTTTCTTATCGATCATGTGCATACATTAAATAATATAAATCGTTACACTTAACCTAAAAAAAAAATAAAAAAAAAAATAAATAAATAAATAATTTTATGTAAAACAATAAAAACGAAGGAGGAAAAAAATAAAATAAAAATTAATATTATCCACCCGTAATTTTATAACCGTTAATCCGCCATTTTTGTTTTTTTTTTTTTTTTCAAACTATAATAAAACTTATCGATAAAAACAATAAAAAATTATATACACGTTTTTTATTAAATTCAGGTACGATTAATAACACAAAAAATATCTATTATTATTATTATTATTATTATTATTATTATTAATGTTTAATAATGATTACCTATTGTCGTAAGAATGGTTGAAGCAAAAAAAGCAGATTCTGTAAAACTCCATCTTGAAGTAACTTTATCAGTTTTTTTATATGGTAATTGAACGCCATTTTGACAGGCTTCCTAAAAGAAAGGAAAAAAAGGAAAATTTTTCGTTTTTCTTAAAATATTTTTACCCCGCAAACTATTTCCGTTTTCATATTTTAACTTACAATAAGTGCTAATTCGTAATTTTCAAGGATTTCATCACATTTTTTAACATCTTTTGAGCAAACGTGTGAAAATTTAATTAAATTAAATCTTTCATTTTCTATATTATCAATTAATTTACTAAATTTTGTTATTTCAGCCGAATGCTCGAGTTCTTGAAAAACCTAAAAGCAAAAAAAAAAAAAAAACCTTTTTTTTTTTTTTTAAGGTTCCAACGTGAGAAAATTAATTATATTTAACGTTTTATTATTATTATTTACATTAAATTTAACGTTAACTAAAAAAAAGGAAGGGAGGGGGGGGAATTTATTACGAAAAAACAAATGGAAAGATAGGAGAAAATTTTTTAAAATTAATTTACTTTTTTTTTCACTTCTCAAAAAAAAATTTGGCAGCAAATTCCTGTTGTCGGTGATGACATCAATGGAATAGAAAAAAGAAAAAAATTTTCATTTGAACCACCAACGGTTTACACATACTCACGGTCGATTGAGAAAAAAAAAATTATTATTATTATTATTATTTATTTATTTATTTATATCGAAAATAAAAATGCAGAGAAATTCAAATATGTTATATTCAGATTTTTTTAATTGTAATTTTTTTTTGTTTTGTTTTTTTTCAAACAAAAAATTTTTTATTGTTAAAAAAAAAAAACCGAGTGTGTGTGTGCGTGTGCGTGTGCTTTCGCGTGTTTGTTTTTTAATTATTTTTTTATATTAAAATTTTTGTTGTTGTTTTGAAATAAGGATTTTCATTATTATTTTTAAAACAATTACTAATCCAATTATTTTTAGTTATAAATTTTTTTTTTTTTTTGGTTTTTTCAAATTGTTTAAATTAATTACAATTTTTTCTTATAAATTTTCGAATTACATAATTTTTTTCTTAAAATAATCGGAAAAAACCAGAAGAAAACAGAAAGGAAAAAGAAAAACATAAATTTTTCAAGTGGTTTTAATGGTGGTTGTTGAAAGATTCGTAAAAAAAATTTATTTTTCTCTTTTTTTATTGATTTTAATTTAAAAAAAAAAAAACTATAATTTTTATTATTATTATTATTATTATTATTATTATTATTATTATTTTATTGCTTATTTTAATTAAAAAATAAAAACATTTTAACAAAATCACATTTTCCGGTAAATAAAATAAATTTATTTAAAAATAATAATGATAATGAATTAAATTTGCTTTACAATACGAATCGTTCTGTTGTGATAACTCGTTTATTGTTTGTTTGCCTTTTTTTTTCTTCAAGTGACGATAAATAAATAAATATGTCGTCTTTATAAATAATAATAATAATTTTATACCTTTTTTTGAATTTCTGACCAAATAAAAAATGGCAGAAACACTCGAAAAACAACAACAAAATTATAAATATTTCTTTTAAAAAAAAAATTTTGTGTTTTGTCTTTGATCGATTCTCTTCAGTTTATTTTATAAAAAAAAAAAATTTAAATTTTGATATTTAAAAAAAATTTTTCTTTTTTTTCGCGTTTGTGTTTTAAATTTAAAAATTTTTTATGAAAAAAAAAAAAAAAAACAAAACAAAACGAAACATAAATTTTTTTTAGCGTCAAATTTTTTTTTGACCACAAACTATGTAATAATTTATTATTTGATTTGTGACCAAAAAAAAAAAAAAAAAAACAAAAAAGAAGCAAAAAGAAATTTCTTTTTTCTTTGAATTTATTATTTTGTATATAAATTTTATTTATAAATATTCAGAAGTTATATAAAAATTATAAATATATAAAAAATTTTACAATAACATCCTTATTATTATTATTATTATTATTATTATTATTACTATTTTATCACACGAGCCGCAAATAAATTTTAGGTCAAGATTACAAAATAAATAATTCAAAGAATAAAAAGAAAAGAAAATTTTATTTACGTACGCACACACGCACAAACGTATTGAATTCAATTTTTTTTATTAATTAACGTTGATTTTATTTAAAAAATACATAAATAAAATAAATTAATAAGTTAATAACTTACCAAAGCACCAAAAATTGTATATATCGATACGGCAAATAATAAACCTATGTGTTTAAATATTTTTTTAATTTTTTTCCAATTAAATGTTTTCTCATTTTCAACTCCTAATAATTGAGCCATAAAAAACGTTTAATAATACCTGTTATTAAAATTAAATAAATA